AAGTCAAGAAAATTAAGGCTTGTGTGGCAGAAAGACATTATTGTCTAACCCTGTCCAAGTCATGTAAATTAAGGCTTGTGTGGCAGAAAGACATTATTATCTACCCCTGTCCAAGTCATGAAAATTAAGGCTTGTGTGGCAGAAAGACATTATTGTCTACCCCTGTCCAAGTCAAGAAAATTAAGGCTTGTGTGGCATAAAAACTTTACATGTATTATATACCTGTACCACTGTCCAAGTCAAGAAAATTAGGGCTTGTGTGGCAGAAAGACATTATTGTCTACCCCAATACAAGTCAAGAAAATTAAGGCTTGTGTTGCTAGAAAGATATTGTTATCTACCCCAGTCCAAGTCAAGAAAATTAAGGCTTGTGTGACAGAAAGACATTATTGTCTACCCCTGTCCAAGTCAAGAAAATTAAGGCTTGTGTGGCAGAAAGACATTATTGTCTACCCCTGTCCAAGTCAAGAAAATTAAGGCTTGTGTGACAGAAAGACATTATTATCTACCCCTGTCCAAGTCAAGAAAATTAGGGCTTGGTGGCATAAAAAAAACATTACATGTATTATATACCTCTGTCCAAGTCAAGAAAATTAAGGCTTGTGTGTCAGAAAGATATTGTCATCTACCCCAGTCCAAGTCAAGAAAATTAAGGCTTGTGTGGCAGAAAAACATTATTGTCTACCCCAGTCCAAGTCCAGAAAATTAAGGCTTGTGTGGCATAAAAACATTACATGTATTATATACCTGTACCACTGTCCAATTCAAGAAGATTAGGGCTTGTGTGGCAGAAAGGCATTATTATCTACCCCAGTCCAAGTCAAGAAAATAATGGGCTTGTGTGGCAGGAAGACATTACATGTATTATATACCTCTGTCCAAGTCATGAAAATTAAGGCTTGTGTGGCATTATTATCTACTCCAGTCCAAGTCAAAAAAATTAAGGCTTGTGTTGCTAGAAAGATATTGTCATCTACCCCAGTCCAAGTCAAGAAAATTTAGGCTTGTGTGGCAGAAAGACATTATTATCTACCCCTGTCCAAGTCAAGAAAATTAAGGCTTGTGTGGCAGAAAGACATTATTGTCTACCCCTGTCCAAGTCAAGAAAATTAGGGCTTGTGTGGCATAAAAAAAACATTACATGTATTATATACCTCTGTCCAAGTCAAGAAAATTAAGGCTTGTATGTCAGAAAGATATTGTCATCTACCCCAGTCCAAGTCAAGAAAATTAAGGCTTGTGTGGCAGAAAAACATTATTGTCTACCCCAGTCCAAGTCCAGAAAATTAAGGCTTGTGTGGCATAAAAACATTACATGTATTATATACCTGTACCACTGTCCAATTCAAGAAAATTAGGGCTTGTGTGGCAGAAAGGCATTATTATCTACCCCAGTCCAAGTCAAGAAAATAATGGGCTTGTGTGGCAGGAAGACATTAAATGTAATATATACCTCTGTCCAAGTCATGAAAATTAAGGCTTGTGTGGCAGTAAGACATTATTATCTACTCCAGTCCAAGTCAAAAAAATTAAGGCTTGTGTTGCTAGAGAGATATTGTCATCTACCCCAGTCCAAGTTAAGAAAATTAAGGCTTGTGTGGCAGAAAGACATTATTATCTACCCCTGTCCAAGTCAAGAAAATTAAGGCTTGTGTGGCAGAAAGACATTATTGTCTACCCCTGTCCAAGTCAAGAAAATTAGCGCTTGTGTGGCATAAAAAAAACATTACATGTATTATATACCTCTGTCCAAGTCATGAAAATTAAGGCTTGTGTGTCAGAAAGATATTGTCATTCACCCCAGTCCAAGTCAAGAAAATTAAGGCTTGTGTGGCAGAAAGACATTATTGTCTACCTCTGTCCAAGTCATGAAAATTAAGGCTTGTGTGTCAGAAAGATATTGTCATCTACCCCAGTCCAAGTCAAGAAAATTAAGGCTTGTGTGGCAGAAAGACATTATTGTCTACCCCTGTCCAAGTCATGACATTTAAGGCTTGTGTGGCAGAAAGACATTATTATCTACCCCAGTCCAAGTCAAGAAAATTAAGGCTTGTGTGGCAGAAAGACATTATTGTCTACCCCAGTCCAAGTCAAGAAAATTAAGGCTTGTGTGGCATAAAAACATTACATGTATTATATACCTGTACCACTGTCCAAGTCAAGAAAATTAGGGCTTGTGTGGCAGAAAGACATTATTGTCTACCCCAGTCCAAGTCAAGAAAATTAAGGCTTGTGTTGCTAGAAAGATATTGTCATCTACCCCAGTCCAAGTCAATAAAATTAAGGCTTGTGTGACAGAAAGACATTATTATCTACCCCTGTCCAAGTCAAGAAAATTAAGGCTTGTGTGGCAAAAAGACATTATTGTCTACCCCTGTCCAAGTCCAGAAAATTAGGGCTTGTGTGGCATAAAAAAACATTACATGTATTATATACCTCTGTCCAAGTCATGAAAATTAAGGCTTGTGTGTCAGAAAGATATTGTCATCTACCCCAGTCCAAGTCAAGAAAATTAAGGCTTGTGTGGCAGAAAGACATTATTGTCTACCTCTGTCCAAGTCATGAAAATTAAGGCTTGTGTGTCAGAAAGATATTGTCATCTACCTCAGTCCAAGTCATGAAAATTAAGGCTTGTGTGGCAGAAAGACATTATTGTCTAACCCTGTCCAAGTCAATAAAATTAAGGCTTGTGTGACAGAAAGACATTATTATCTACCCCTGTCCAAGTCAAGAAAATTAAGGCTTGTGTGGCAAAAAGACATTATTGTCTACCCCTGTCCCAGTCCAGAAAATTAGGGCTTGTGCGGCATAAACAAACATTACATGTATTATATACCTCTGTCCAAGTCATGAAAATTAAGGCTTGTGTGTCAGAAAGATATTGTCATCTACCCCAGTCCAAGTCAAGAAAATTAAGGCTTGTGTGGCAGAAAGACATTATTGTCTACCTCTGTCCAAGTCATGAAAATTAAGGCTTGTGTGTCAGAAAGATATTGTCATCTACCTCAGTCCAAGTCAAGAAACTTAAGGCTTGTGTGGCAGAAAAACATTATTGTCTACCCCAGTCCAATTTAAGAAAATTAAGGCTTGTGTGGCATAAAAACATTACATGTATTATATACCTGTACCACTGTCCAAGTCAAGAAAATTAGGGCTTGTGTGGCAGAAAGGCATTATTATCTACCCCAGTCCAAGTCAAGAAAATAATGGGCTTGTGTGGCAGAAAGACATTACATGTATTATATACCTCTGTCCAAGTCATGAAAATTAAGGCTTGTGTGGCAGAAAGACATTATTATCTACTCCAGTCCAAGTCAAGAAAATTAAGGCTTGTGTGTCAGAAAGATTATCTTCCCCTGTCCAAGTCAAGAAAATTAGGGCATGTGTGGCAGAAAGACATTACATGTATTATACCTCTGTCCAAGTCATGAAAACTAAGGCTTGTGTGGCAGAACGACATTATTGTCTACCCCTGTCCAAGTCAAGAAAATTAAGGCTTGTGTGGCAGAAACACATTATTGTCTACCCCAGTCCAAGTCAAGAAAATTAAGGCTTGTGTGGCAGAAAGACATTATTGTCTACCCCAGTCCAAGTCAAGAAAATTAAGGCTTGTGTGGCATAAAAACATTACATGTATTATATACCTGTACCACTGTCCAAGTCAAGAAAATAGAGGCTTGTGTGGCAGAAAGACATTATTGTCTACCCCAGTCCAAGTCAAGAAAATTAAGGCTTGTGTGTCAGAAAGACATTATTATCTTCCCCTGTCCAAGTCAAGAAAATTAGGGCTTGTGTGGCAGAAAGACATTACATGTATTATATACCTCTGTCCAAGTCATGAAAATTAAGGCTAGTGTGGCAGAACGACATTATTGTCTACCCCTGTCCAATTCAAGAAAATTAAGGCTTGTGTGGCATAAAAAAACATTACATGTATTATATACACTGCACACACAAAACCATCCACCAATGACACACACATACACAGAGCCATACACTGCCTACTACTTTGCTTACAAATACTACACACTAACAAGTCACACACACACACACACACACACACAAGTACTGTAGATGCGCATAGTACCTAGCTACCTGGATGTCAACTGTAGATGGCACTATTCCGTTTGGCTACTTGGACACAACCCCTCTCTAAAATTTGGACATTTATTTTGGGCCTTTTTTGGGGAAAATTTTTTCTTGTGTGACTAAATCTTAGTTGATTAGAAATGACATGTCAGACATCTTAGACACTGAATATGATAGTTTTCTTGTGTGGCTAGACACACAAGTCTAAAGTGACACACAAGGATATCTCATACGTAAAACTAAACACACAAGCATACCATCGCAAACTCGGACGGACGTACGGACGGACGGACGTACGGACGGACGGACGTACGGACGGACAACCCGAAAACATGATGCCTCCGGCACCACCTTCGGTGGCGGAGGCATAAAAATAGATAAGTGAAGAAGAAATAATAAAAAACAGTAGGAGAAACAAAATACAATTTGTTTTGGCTTTAAGCCTTTGACAAGTAATGGCAAATTTATTCAAATCCAGCAAAATACGTGTACATGTAAAATGGTACATTTCCAAGGCAGGTATCAATAGCCTGGTCAAATTTATTAATTTATCATATTTTCATTTAAGTTTTACATAAGATAATAATTTTTTTTAAAAGAGAAAACTAAGGCCACATGGATAAGAAGGCAGTTGATTACGCATATACAGTGGAACTTTGTTATTATGACGTCCTTGGGAAGTGGAATTTACCTTGTTATATTAGGGTAATAAAAGTTTTAAAAAACAAAAGAATATAAAGAGCTGGGACCAGCAAAATCACCATGTTATAACAGATAACTTGTTATGTCTGAGCTTCTTATGATAGGTTCTACTGTATTTGGACAAAGAACATCCCTCTAAGTTTAAACAAAATTGCTGATGTTTAGTGAGGAAAATTGCGAATGCAGAGGTAAATGTAAATAATGGTTACCTTCTTATCTTCAGGGATAACGATCCATTCAGCTTTTTTTGTAAAGTGCTTCGCAAGAGCCACTCTCTCCACTGGAATCAACAAGCGATCAGCAATGGCTTGCCGTAGACCACTGGGGGCAGCAGACTTCCCAGCATCCCAGACGAGATCCTCAGCGGTTCCGTAGAGTCTAGTATCAGGTATCCTCTTCTGGAAGGTCAGAACAAACTCTGTTTGTCTGGACAGCAAGCAGCGTTGGGAAGAAAAGAGAACAAGTTTTAATGGCATTTACGAAGTAGTGTAAATCAAGTCAGCTCTCTGCCTTCATAAACTCAATCGGGCGGAACCATTCAAAACTATTAAGTCCCGTCTTTGGGATGGTGACGTTAAAGGTTGGTCCCCAGACATAAATTATTATATCTGATTGCTACAGGTTTGTACAAAATTTAATTACACTCACAACTACACTAATACAGTTGTAGTTGGGGTCAATATGTTATAGTGATATTCAGTTAAAGGGATGCATACATGTGTGCTTGTCCAAATTATATCTCATAAATAAGTTGTGTAAAACGTAAAACAACATAGAATTTGGCATGAATCAGCAATCTGACCTACCAAAGCTCTGTAAGACAGCTGGTATGACAGCACTTTTCAATGGTGGGAATACTGTAAGTGTTATACATAATATGTAACTAAGTTGAATCATGGTATAGTGGTTCATGCGCTTGAGTCTCAATCCAAGGGTTAATTAAAGGGAAAGTCCACCCCAAAATAAGTTTGTTTCGATAGAGGCAGAATAATAAGAAAATCAGGTGAGTGAAAGTTTGAGCAAATTCTGAATGAAAATAAGAAAGTTATGAATTATTGAAGTTGTGATCAATCAAATACAAATTGGCAACTCTGTGACATATTATACGAGCTCTCCTTCATTTGCTTTGTGCATAATATTCCATAAAATCATGTTTTCTTCGTTATTGATGACGGAATATATATTTGTTCCTTGCAGGGGGAGTATAGAAACATATTTGCAATTATTATATTTAGGGTGCATGTATGGTTGAAATTTTTCTTGAGGGAAAATGAAAATTTTAGATTTTTTTAGTACTAAGCAAATGGATGTTGAGCTCGCATTTTACATCATAGAGTTGCCAATTTGTGTTTGATTGATCACAACTTAAAAAATCCTAACTTCCTTATTTTTAATCGGAATTTGCTCAAACTTTCACTGACTTGTTTCTCTCATTTTTCTACTCCTATTAAAACTAACTTAATTTCAGGGTGGACATTCCCTTTAACCCTATTTAGCCCGGGGGGGGGGCTTGAGAAGCCCCCCCCTCGACATTTTTCGCGATAATGTTTTAACGCAAGAAAATCTTGCACTGAAATTTTGTGACTTTTTTCTTTCAAGTCTTGCACAACTTTTGAAAGAAATTTTTCGAAAATCGGACCTACCATTACAAAGTCACGTGTCCTTTTGTCTTCGCATGTCAGCCCGAAAATCGCTCATTTTTGTGATTTGTGTACAAAACATATGGAAATCTCATTTTTTAAATAAAGAGGTAAAACATTGGTTATTTGGTCTTGTTTAGATTTTAGGTGTTTATTTTGGGGTCAAAATAGTTGAATTATAGTTGGAAATGAAATAAAACAACAAAAACAATAAAATACATAAGTTAAAAAAACAAAGAAATACATAAGAAATTATCAAAACAATAGATAACATAAGGAATAACCCTGGTTTTTCAAATTTTCGTGTTGTATTATTATTCCAAATGGTCTAACAAATATATGTAGTGAGAAAGAATGCTTAAATATGAATAATGTCTGATTTATGGGCAAAAATGTGAATTTAATGACCTTATTTGCATAAATTACCATAAATATGCAAATGAGTGAATTTTTCAAAAAAATTGAAATTACCATAGTATTCTATACACTTCACTTGACATGTATGCAAATTTTCGCGGCGATCGGGCATTTCACGGCCGAGATCATAGGGGGGGGGCCAGAGAAGCCCCCCCCCGGGCTATGCAGTTTCAAAATAGCCCGGGCTAAATAGGGTTAAGGGTTCGAAAGACAACTTGACACTAATGACATCAATCCACATGTGCCCCCTCCATTTAGGTTTTAGATGAGTAACCGGTAGGATCCAAGTCATTGTGGCTTGCTAATAAGCATTGCGAGCATCTGTAAAACAGGGCCTTGCTGGAATACTTCCCAGGGAGTAGAGAATATGCATACATGTACATTGTGTGCTTTATAGACATTGTTGATGAATCGAGCACTATACATGTATCAACCCATAATATCATTATCATTATCAATGTTATTTGTTATTAGTAGTAGTATTTCTAGTCCATTTTATATAAATATATATATATATATATATTTTTTTTTTAGCCATACCTGAGGTGCTCTTCTTCTGGTAGTATCTGGACAGCAATTTGTGAGATATTCATTCTGGCAAACCTTAAATGGAATGAAAAGTTTGAAAAAACAGAGTAATAGCATGAAATAGAACCTCAGTCATGTACAAATATCATGCACATGAACACTGTTCTTCCATTTCTTGCTGGCAGATACATGTGCTATGTTAAATATTTTCAAATATTGAAATATTGAAATTGAGAAAATACATTTCAACATGCATGCCAGTGAAAACATCAATATCATCTCTAAGAAAGATTTGGGAGTGATATGTACATGTGCATGTACATGTATGGTGTTCAATTAGGAATTTCAATTACACATAAATGCATACATGTATGGATGAGAACTCATTTGAAGAATTTACAGCCTCCCCCCCCCCCCCCCCCCCCCAAAAAAAAAAAATGTCTGTTGCCGATTTGAGGAACCAAAGGCTCACTCAAACAGATATTTTTAAAAAAAACCTGTCTTGAAAGGATTCAAATGAAAGAATGAATTACTTGAGGCTCTGGTTGTTATCTCTCAATACTCTGCCCTGCCTCCCATCCTCCAACAGACGAAGACGAAGAAACTCTACCGTCGGCACGACGACCTGGCTCATGGCTGGAAGGGTCATGACCTGACTCTTGAGGTCACCGATTGTTGCATTTTGGGATATCTCGATCTCGCCGAGGAGCTCATGCTGATTGGACGGTGTCTCTAGTGACTGCTGGATGTCATGGTTGGGGCTGTTGGCACTGCTTAGGCTATTTAGGATGTCTGCAAGAAATAAGAAATAAGATATCGTCAATGTGAAAGCACTCAATCTATAAAGTATGCATTGAATGTGTCAAAGGAGAAAGTGAAAATTGACATAGATCAGTGGCAACACAAAATCTTATGATATACTTGGTAAGAACGTTTGATGGCTCAGTGGTAGAGCAATGGTCTTGTAACTGAGAGGACCCAGGTTTGAAACAGATTTGATGGGCTAGTGTCTTTAATATGGTAAGGCATGAATCCTCATTACCAATTCTTGAAGCCATTGGTCCCCTGGTTGCTAATACAAGCATGCACATGCTTTCTTAGCAGTCAGGTGGAACAAACATACCAACCTTCAACCTAATACTACATTGTATCATTCATTCTTATTGGTATGTGAATTATATGAGCTGAAAAGATGCAGCAAAACAGAGAAAGAGGAGTGTACACGATAAGAGGGACAGAGTGAGAAGGGGAAAGAGAGTGATAGAGGGAGAGAGAGAGAGAGAGAGAGAGAGAATGGGAGAAAGAAATAGAGAGTTGTAAAAAGAGATGGAGAGTGGGTGAGACAGTAAGAAAAAGGGAGAGGAGTGGTGGAAAGACAGAGAGAGAAAGACTGAGAGAAAATTTGAATTTAAGAGAGTCCATAAGAGAACAAAAGATCACAACATTTGAGAGCTGACTTACTTGAAAACTGGACGTGAGGCATCCATGACGACACCCCACCACCACCACCTTCTTCCGCCCCACTGGTCCTCCGAGGTGAAGGACAGAGCCAGACAGGGAGCAGGAGGAACCCCCTGGGTGGTATCCGACCCTCTTCTAGCATCAGAAGCTCTCCATCTTGGATGTGAAGCTGCAGTAGACTTTGCTCCTATCATTTAAAAAACAAAATCAGGAAAATGCTCAAACTATAGAAATGCAGTCAAACCTGCTTTAGTGACCACCTGTCTATAAAGGCCACATTTGTTCCTTGAAAACGTTTTTTCATTGAATCATGTACTAAAGGAACCTGTCTACAAAGGCCACTTTTTGTGTTTCCCTTGGGCAGTCGCTGTAGACAGGTTTGACTGTACTAAAATGAAGTTCAGGGTTGTTCATATATGCCACAGTAACCGTGGTGTCTCATTTAACCCATTGGCTACTGAATTCTTTCATTCCAATAGGCTTAATACAGGGACAACCTGGTTCAAGTAGGCAATGAGTTAAGTACACGAAGCATACTGAACTTCATATGTTAGTCTTACTTGGAGCTCCATGGATTTGACTTATGGCTGAGCATCTGCGTGTGTATCAAAATTACTAATCATATAATTGGAGACATATACATTTTTATACTTAAAAGCCCCTCTGCACTAGTTTGGCCAAGAGGGATTAGACTTTCCTGAATGGTCACTGGCAGGTGGTTATCTCATCAGATGAGCTCCCAATTAACATAAGAAAAAGGGCATCATGGGAGGTCAACGCGTACCGCTTAGGCATTGTTGGCTGTAAACAGGGCGCAAGTAGCTATAATTAGTGCAGTGGGGCTTTAACACAGATTTAATGCCCTTCTGGCTCTGAACCGATGTTATCCTCTACCAGGTACATGTATGTGAATGCTAAACATGAATGGACCTTGTGGCAGATTAGCCCTGTGCTAAACACAGCCCTTACCATGTCAGTAATGATATCAGCCGCTTCTCCACACCAGTTGGTCTTTCTTAGATGGTAGGGGGTGCCCTCCATTCCTGCTATGCTCAACATCTTAGTCAGGCACTGAATTGTGAAAGAGAGACATGTAGAGAGATAACAAAAACAAAACAGCAGGTATGAATTGTAAAGAGACCACCTGGGAATTGTCCACATGATGAATATAAAATAAACAAAATGTGAGTTCTCTTATCCTAACAGCAATTAGAATGCCTAAGACCTTGAATCCAAGGGCTTGAATCTATGAAAAGGGCGTTTTATCTTTCCTTTCCTCGAACAAATAAACTCTAAACACAGGATTAAAATAAGATATTGCAAATTAGATTTATATTTTTAAAAAATCAAAAAAAGTTTTTGATCAATACACACAAACATCAATGCAGAATAATAGAAATATATAATTCAATATTTGAAGACTTTACTTTCAGCATCTACTAACTTCTGCCTTTCACCTATTTTGGCAAAATTTTCAAATCCTTTGCTTTCACCTCGAGCAACTTCATATTAAAGATGTTTCACTTCATCTGATGCTCTGATGATGGCAACCACCAATAAACTCACCTCTGACATAGAAGTAGATTTATCCACCATCATATCCCAGGATTTTGTGCCAGACATGAGACTGAAATTGAGGGTGAGTTCATTGGATGTCGGAGGAAGTCCTGTTTCTATGACGATGGTCTTGCCTTTCTTGACGCCAGAATCAGTAAGGCTCTTGTTTTCATGCACTGTGTGGATGATAACAGTGAATCATCATAATGAGGATAATATTTGACATTTATATAGCTCTTCATACATAGATGTCTCTATGCGCTTTACAGATATATATTATTACCACAGTCATTGGATTCAGGCTTGTACATTATACAGTGATGCCAACCCTATAGGATGGCTGTCAGTAACATTTACCACATTTGTCCGTAACAAATGGGGGTCTTTCCGTAACGCAAGACACCGCAGCATAATTTTTGCGCAAAACGTACAAAAACACCCAATCACTCTTACTGCATTTCGAATCTACCATTTTTAAGTCCAAAATAAAGATGTGCATAAAAACGTTTTTAAAAATCTGTTTGCAGTCAAAGGATCTCCTCCTCGGGTACTCGTTCTTTTGAGTGAATCCATGATAATATTCAGGAAGAAAACACCTTGTTCAAGCGTCGAACGGCAAATTCGAATCCACAGTCAAATGGCAGAACTTGTATCCTACACACGCACACGTACATGTACACTCACCAGTACCACAGACACACCAGCCCAGGCCGCTAGGCCCGGCGTTCTTGAACAACAACACACCGTATACCGCACTTGCAATGCGCCCGCTGAATCACCGAAGACTTCGCTACTATACTTTGAATGGGTATTGCGCTCACAATCATTCCCCACCATGCTCCCCCCAAAATGCACGACCGCACGTAGTATACTAGTATCAAAACAGTAATGACGGCGGCCGTGTTGTTTCGGAATTAAACAAGATGGCGGCGGTCGGGCCATGTGCGTGAAAGTGCCTATCCAGTGTAGTCAAATTCAGTGAACTTATGAGTAAATGCATGCGACATGCAGCGCTGTGTACGGAGGCTATGTGATAAGGCGGCATTCGCTATAATGTACTTTTATTTATTGTTTCCCCGTAACCATTTTATTGTTTACCGTAACGCCGTAACAAGAGCATTAAAACCGTAACAAATACGGCGAGACCGTAACAGTTGGCATCTCTGCATTATATGCACATTCTCCACTCCCTGGTGAGCATTGCAGCCAGGCGCCATTTAACAGATGCTCACAATGCTTAGCAAGCTAAAATGGATTTTGCATCCTACCAGGCACCCATTTAACACCTGGGTGGAGAGTGGCAAATGTGGATTGATATCATTAGTGTCGGGTTGCATTTCTTTTACAAGAAGAATTGACAAAACAATATTTTATGGTGTATATGTTATAAATAATCTGATCCATGGGAAAAAATTGGTGGTAAAGCGTGATTTCTCATTCCCATCCCCGGAACAAGCTCTTTGTAACTATTATGAGATTTAAAAAAAATACATGTATCATAAATTGCTTTGAGCAGCTTCCTCCATGTATTTCATTTGTACAGTATGTTATTTTTCAAGGTCGTCTGAAATTACTGTAATTCCAGGGGGGTGTTTAACAAAGATCCCAAGTCTAACTTAACTCTAAGTTGGACTTAAATGTTATGGAGAGCCATTTGTAGCCTTAAAATAAAATTTATTCAAAAGCAGAATTTCAAGTACTTAAGACTTTTCATAAATTCCACATCAAGAACATGAAATCTCCTTGAAAATAGAAAAAATGAATGATTTAAATCAACATTATGCCCTATAAAATAGATTTTACAAATATTTTTAAAGATACTAACGGCTTTCCATAATTGTTGAGTCCAACTTAGAGATACAATGTAAGTTCCACTTAAGATCTTTGTGACACACCCCCCAGAGTTACTTACACGGAGCTAGAAGTCCCATTGCATCATCACTGATCCTCAGCCTACATCCTTCCTTAGGTCTCTGGTTACCATAGAGACCAAGGGTGTTGATGATCAGCTGCTTCAAGTCAAATACGGTCTGATGAATGGAGCAGAGATGAAAACAAAGAAAAGAGGAAGGATATCTAACATGTTGCATGAATTCTTATTAGTTTTATATCATATCTTTTTAATGCTATTCCCCTTAAAGCAAAAAAAAAAGAAAGAAGTTCAGTTCATATCTAGTGTCAACCTTCATGCATCTATGCTGTAAAGATTAACGTTATTCCGGAAAATGAAAATAAACATAAATTCCTAATTCATTTTTTATCAATTTAAGTAATTCCTTTAATTTATTTGTAATTCTTATTTTCCTACCTTTGTTTATAATAATAATAATAATAATAATATTCAGCTTTTATATAGCGCAAATCACAATAAGTCTCTAAGCGCTTCCAAACTTGGACATTATTACCCCGGCTTTAGCTGTGCTGCCATTATAGCGCTCTAGCATTTCAAGGAATAAATTCCTACCAGGTACCCATTTACTTCACCATTTATCACACAAATGCCTATGCCCATACAAGTACATGAACTGGTATCATACAAGTACATGTTATAGATACAGCCCATAGCCTAGTATGTTTTTGCAACAAAAATCATGAAAAGTAGTTTATTGCATAATACTATTTGAAGAAAATAATGATAATAAATAGCTCCTTACCTTGTCTTTGGGTATGTCCATCTGTTTGACAGGCCAGTCACCATTGTGGTCTGGATCTACACATCTGTTCTCAATCGTTAATTTCACAGAATTCTTCTGATTGTCAGCTTCACGGGCCGCTAGAGAGTCACGTGGAGATTTGGGACTGGAAAAATCAAGAAAGGGATAAGAAGAATTATGAGGTGATACAGTGAAACCTGTCTATAAAGACCACCAAAGGGAGACAAGAATAGTGGTCTTTATGTACAGGAGTGTCAAGAAAGACATGAGAGCTTTACAAAAACCTACTATTATCATTATCATATCATATCATACCATCATCATCACCACCACCACCACCACCACCACCACCACCACCACCACCACCACCACCACCACCACCACCACCACCACCACCACCTCCACCACCACCACCACCACCACCACCACCACGCCCACCACCACTATTATTTTTATTATACCTTTGTTATTGCTTATTGGTACAGACAAGAGGTCACTTGACTTTTTATTACTTTAATATCAATGACAAATATCTGAACAAAAGATTTCAAGATTTGTCTCACCTGTCCTTGCCTGTTGATTCCACCATCAGCTTATCACCATCTGAAAAGTCTAGCTGTGTGAGTGTCCTCCCATCATCCTCCGAAGACACCACCACTGGTACCGACTGTACCCTGCTAAGCTTCAACCGGTGCTTCGGGATACCGACGATATCTGACACCATGCACCGTAGCTCTGATATCCTGGTGTCTTTAGGGAAACCATGTGGGAGCTCCGTGGGGGAGCTGGGGGGTGGTGGCGTTGGCTTGGTGGAGGTGTTAGAAGGGGGTGCAGCGTTGTAGGTTAGAATGAGCAGAATTGGCTCGCTGGTTGGGCCGACTAAGATGGAATTTCCGTCAACCTGTGAAAGAATTTTGGTCAAATAGAAAGGGAAGAAATTACCCAACAAGCCTTAGTGTTCAATAGTGACACATAGTGACGCATAGCCTATACGATATGCGTCGGGCTTTATGGCAAATATACTGATCGCGAAATGGAGACTGACATGGGCGCGGGCGTCAGCCCAAGCGCCTATCATCACTGGTCAACTCATCATTATTCATATATTTGTATAGTATGTGTGATGAGCGTATTCTCATGCATGATTCATAAGACTAGCCTTATTTGGTGATCGATCACTTTGATTCAACCAATCAAATATCATCTCCAGGTTCCTCATCGCTCATTGGCCTATTTTGGTCCATGCTACATAAATATTCATGAAAGAGCTTTACAGGGGGTTCGTAGATTTTCTACAAACGAAACATGGTACATAAAAGAAAATGAAACTTTTCGCATGCACCAGTGATGATAGGCGCTCGGGGCTGACGCCCGCGCCGATGTCACTCTCCATATAAACGCGATTAGTATACTTGTAAAGCCCGACGCATATCGGATAGGCTAAGTGACGCATTGACTAACGTTGGCTTTTAATGAGTTGATTGATTGGCAATGGTATAAGGTAGTGTTTGTCAGAACAAGGAGCAGCAGTTACAATAACAATAACAATAACAATAACAGTGCCCATTAACACACTTTACATTGCAGAGTGTATCAATTTGGAATTCTACTGACTAAAATCATGCAAAGTGTTATGCACTATGCATTATATAATCTCCCCAATTTCATATTTTAAGAATACTTCAGTTGCACGCTCTTACCTGTTTGCCATCCCATAGGAAGATAAAGCTCTGATCTGTTACATAACAATCTTGGAGGGTCTTGTCTGGGCTGTCTATAATCAAAAGAAAAGAACACATCATTCAACACATGTTTACTGTGTACAATATACATACCTGCCAACCTTTCACAGTTAGGAATCTCTCAAGGCAAATTAGGAATACAGTCTATCTTGTATGCTTTTCAAAAAGCATATTTCAGAAAAAGAGAAGAATCTAGCTTGAAGGCCACAAAATAGGAATTATTCCTCCAAACTAGAGGAATGGTAGGCAGCTATGAATTATGGAGCTACATGTTAGAACACATTATCTACCTGTACATGTGTATAAACATTCCTCTTGGCTCAAGTAGAGTTTTTCTTAGTTTAGAACATTGCTCAAGCTAGCTAAATGAATTATTATGCATCATAGTGTACAGTGTAATGTAACCACTAATAAAAACAATTTGGATTTTGCCAAATAAACATAATTTTTTTACGTTGAACATTCAAATTTGCTTTTTATACTACGGCACAAGTACAAGTAAGTGAATGTACACAAATTCAACCTAAGAGACACATTTTACCAAATGGTTTGAAATGGTACCAGATCCTACAAACACTGTCTTACCCGTTAGAGAATCAAATAAATGAAACCCTGCTGGAAGGGATTTGGCAACATGAAGGCACTCATTATTATCCTCAGGCACCTACAATGTACAATGAAAAAAAAAATTAAAATTAAAAGTTGAATAAGCCAAAGAGCTAGAGTACGGTTCATGCAGTAATTTTACAGTTCATCATAACATCAAAGACAGTCAAAGATGTAGGGTTTGGACCAGGAGTGAAGTTGGAAAATGGATTAGTGTAAATTTTCGAACAGATTATGTGCCAGTCATAAAACTGTCCAAATAATAATAATAATAATTAAAATCAATTTTTAAGCGCAGCTAGTATATAAGTTTATTCTAGTCCGCTGTGGTGACAATAAAGCTCCAAACAGTGCTACTTTATTGATTCTTACTTGTTCTTTGATAAGTCCCATGAGATGTGTGATTGTTTTCCTTCTATCAAGTGTAATCTTGACCGGTTCTCTGTCCGGTGCAAGCTGCAAGGCTCCTCTTGACCATGTACAGTGAGATGATAAGAGCAAGCTCAGCTCAACAGAGTTGATAGATCTATCGTATTCTTCCCTAAAAAAAACAATACAACATGAATAATAAATTTAAAATCAGGGATGATCTTGTTCATGTATACTACAGTGAGGATCTGTTCACACATATTAACACCTCTAGCCCATATACAGTGAGATGATAAGAGCAAGCTCAGTTCAACAGAGTTGATAGATCTATCGTATTCTTCCCTAAAATTGAAATAAAGCCTGACATAATTAATGCATTTAAAATCAGGGATAATCTTGCACATGTGTTATACAATGAGGATATCTCCACACACATTAACACATCTATTATGGAAGAAAATCAGCTTTAAATCAGATGATCAGACATCAAATTGTTACAATTTATGACCACAGACTCCACGGGTGGTATTCTAGAACTGTCATAACAATAATAATGGCCATAACAAATCAAAATTAGGACAGGTCCTTGGTTAATATCTATGCAAAGCTGGCTGTGTTTATGTAAAGTTTAGAGAAACATCTGTTAAGTCACCAATGAAGAGCGTTAATTCTGTGCATTTTCATTTTGGTAAGGCAATTAACATTCTTTTCCCCAACAAACATGTACTGTACATGCTGGAAGAGGGTCGGGTACCACCCAGGGGGTTCCTCCTGCTCCCTGTCTGGCTCTATCCTCCTTTTGTAAGTATCTTGTCAAAGATTACTTTATGGCCACTTCCTGCTAGACGGCCGTTATCACCAATGACAATACATGCATGTAGCTTTTACGTCCTGCTTGCCGGCAGCTGCCTCTTTTCAGAATACAGACCCAGGATCTAACTTTGGTGTAACAGAAAGGGGCAAGATCCCCCGCCATTCTTGAAACTTAAAATTATCAATAGTAATTCACTCATACCTTTGCTTTTCTAGCTCCTGATTGGCTGTTTCCAGTTCAGCCATTAGCCATGCAGGCATCTGATGGTATGCATTGTTGTATGCTACAATTAAAAAAAAATATATACTAGGATTGCAATCACTTCAAAATTAAACATCCTATTTCCACAGAGCTTGTGATATAACATTTTACAGATAATCTATGTACATTGTATGTATCATAGTGAAACCATTTGTAAATCTATCCTGCATCATTCTTTTTTTAAGAACCTTATTATATGATTGTAATCAATTCAAAATCAATCATCTCATTTCTCACTTGTGATGTAGCATCAGCAAAAATAATATTATGATAGCAAGTCTAAGACCATTTGTAAATCTTCCCTGTATCATTTTCTTTTATCAAGAGATCTATCTTTATCCAATTCTTGGTTTACAGTAGATGGTTTCCTTTTGAAACCCTTTCATATCTGACTACAGGTGAAATTTCCTCACGTTAATTTGTACTCAATTACTTTGAAAATATTGCTTGTCTTTCTCATCAATCAATCAAGTCTAAGAATCATGAAATTAGGTGTCATGGTATGAACAAAGAAAGTATGTAGGTAAGATCAAAGACTTTCCCTACATACAAACAACGTTTGTGATATACGTTTGTAAATCTGGTGGAACACTGCAGAGAAGTAACGCCATTGCTTTTTACAGAAACACGGTCAGAAACGGCAGGTACTGATTTAGAATGTGTTCTCATAATCATCTTAAAAGTGAGTCTATATTTAAAGGCCCACTGCACTACTTGTAGCTACTTGCTCCCTCTATATAGAAAACAATGCCAAATCAGTGGCTATTGGTTACCCATGATCCTCTTTTTCTTATGTTAATTGAGAGCTGAGTTGATGAGATAGCCACCTGTCAGTGACCACCCTGGGTGGTCTAATCCCTCCTAGCCAAATTAGGACAGATGTGCTTTAATACATCAATGTATGTTACCTTCGGTTGGGCGAGTCATTGTCTTTCGTCTATAGAGCAGCATGTAGGCACTCTCCCTTCCCTGAAACTGCCTATAGAGGGCGTTCTCTCTAATGGGCTCCACCGAGGAATCATTGAAATCATACCAACACTGTCCTGGTTCTGGGATCTTTGCAGTGGCTCTGTGATGTAAAGAGATTTTCAAAAGCTTTTTTTATATGAGCTAAATCCAGAATTTTGTTTCAGAATCTGAGGCAATGTTACAGAGTTACTTTAAAGGTTGGTCCCAAGAGGTAAATAATCATATCTGATTGATTCACGTCTGTAAAAACCCAATTACACACACACACACACACTTCAGGGTTGTACCTTGCAATGGCCCTCTCCTTATTACTTTGGTCCTGGCCTTCTTCTCCACCTTCCTCCTTCACATGATTCTCATCCGACGCTGCATTGGTGTTGTCCTGTCTGGCGCCATCTCTTGGTGACTTTGAGGGAGATTGGTCTGGGCTGGATGCCTTTCCTTTCATAGGATCTACCAGATGCACGAGGGAGCCTGCTGTGTTCAGCTCAAATAGGTCGTTGTACTTCCTCAGAAACTGATTCGAAATGAAATTGAAAGGATAACCCCAAGTTAAAACTATGAAAAACATGCAAGCAAAGAAAATAAGACCCAGATAAAAAATACTTCAAATTGAATCAAAACCTCCCTGATACACATTCATTGGAAAGAAAAGGAGAACTCATGAATTCTATATGAGATGATAGATGTAAATCAAACTAATTGGATTTACTAAAGGAATTTTTTAATATAAAAGAAAGTTAATGGAGCTATAGTTTCCCAAAACATTTAATTTTTACTTTACAAATCAATTGATCGATTCCATCATGTTCCTACTAACCTTGGTCATTGTTCCATACTGTCTCTTGAAGCGCTTGTTCCATGAAACGCCTGTCTCTTGGTTTAAAACCTGAATAATAGAGAATACGGTAATGGAATAAAGCAAGTAATAATAATTCATTGCATGGTATAAAACATACAGTAAAGACATACCTGTACAGCAAAAAATTGGTAATCTCCCAGAACAAAAATTAGGAATATACAGTGTAGTATATTTTGATTTCTTATTACGAGCAGGTTCCAGTATGACGAATGGGTAATGAAACATGTGGCTAACGACCCACCCCATAGACCGGTTTACTGACATTAAAATTGTATGCATACTTTTTTTTGACAAAGTTTGTTCTTGACAACCTGAAAGCTTGTCCGAGGCTTCTCCAACATGGCAACAAGTAATGAATGCAATCTGGATTCCAAGTATTGTAGTCAATTCATGAATAACAGGTTAATGGAATAACTCATCGCGGGGTTGCAAAGAAAGAAACATTCATAAACATGGCACAAAATACACTCGGCTTCGCCTCATGAATTTGATTGCACCTTAGTGAATACCCTCAATGCATCGACCATAACGCACTCACACCTGTGTATTACTTGTATACTATTGTAAGGACATATGAACTGTACCTGGCAGAGATTTTCAACAGACAATACATGTTCAGATCCACCGTGCTTCCTCAGGAGCGCTGTAAGACACTGCTGGGGAGATTTCATATCAATGATGTCATCCTTTCCACTTCCTGAGTCAGGGGTCAGCTGGATAAGCTCTTTATGCTGTCAAAAATGATAATAGTAAAGATACATTTATAGAGTGTGTTTAAAGCCCGCCTGTACTAGTTTGGCCAGGAGGGATTAGACCACCCAGCAAGGTCACTGACAGGTGGCTATCTCATCAACTCAGCTCTCAATTAAAATAAGAAAAAGAGGATCATGGGGGACCAACGGGCACCACTTTGGCATTGTTTTCTTTATAGAGGGAGCAAGTAGCTACAAGTAGTACAGTGGGGCTTCAAACAAAATAATGTTCTTCTTCTCGAGTCACGATGCTACAATGTTCACTCTTGATTTAGATTGTCCCTATCCAGTGTTGGATGCATTGTATTGCGCAGGGGGTCAGCTTCCAGATCTTCTTGGGTGCAAGGGTCTGGTAGATGTGGGCAGGCTAGGAGATGTTGCATAGTCTCCTCCTCTCCATACAGGTAGATGGTGTCATCGTTTCAACTATAACCTTTCATAAGAGCTTTACAGATATTATAACCCTGTCATTAGATTCATTCATACTCACTATGTGTGCACTATCCCCTCTGCCTGACAAGTATGTACACTGAAAGCATACAACATACTCTTATCATACAAATAAATGATATCTGCCAAGCAATCACTGGTATGGCAGAAAATATCCAATGGCTGAATTATGAGCAAAGGAAATATGGTTTTAACAAAAATATTGAACAAGTGTATGACTTTGTGTGTGCTTTTCAATTAATGTGATTTCCAGCAAATTTCTCTAATATTTTTTGTTTTAATAGTCCAAACAACATATCTGCAGTATCATAAGCAATCCAAAATTAAGATTTCATACCAGAAATGTAGATTATCAACACTTCAACTAAATATCACATATTTCAATTTCACTTAAAAGGAATAATCAACCATTAGGCATTCATAATCAAGAATATATCAATCTGAGTATGAACAATTTCCTCTGAAGTCCTGCTATGACAGGGGAAACATGAAGCAGGAAATTCAGACTCACCGGTTCTGACCAAGTTCCTAGATTGTCCACGTCTCTAATGTACGCATGATAGTGACCTCCGTGTGTGCTACCGCTGTGAAGCACTACAGAATATAACTCATATAGGGCTTCCTCTTTCACCTGTCAATACAACACAAGATATAAATGAAAGGGAATACATCAATTCCAAATCAAAACATGTATAATAAAGCTGATTCTTTACAGATACATTTGTAGATCTACACAAATTCTTCCCATAGGAAAGAGTGTACATGATTGTATATTCAGTGGTATGGCCTAGACCTAGCCATTGAAGGGGTACTTTTATAATGGGGGGGGGGGGGGATTGCTAATCTTAGTAAATAGATGAAACGCCTAATATCACAGCACTCAAGTGAGTGGAGGGTCTTGGGGAAGGCAATTTTCACCTCCCTTTCACATTGCCTTCCTCTATCCTTTCCTATCCCTCTCTAGATTTCTTTCTTTTTACTTTTTATCTTGCCATAAAGTTTCAGCATAGCTATTCAATTTATACAACCATAATGAACCACCATATAATGCATCTCATACACATGTAGGGATGCAATGGTAGTTTGTTAATGGCAGGAGATGGCATAATTAAATTTGTCCTGTAAATAAATAAAATGTGTGAATCTTGTTGATGTAATTGTGTATTTCAATTTTTGTAATAAAACACACAAGTTTTTACAGGTCTAAAAACTAAATCTAAAACTAAACTGAAAACCTAAATTCAACTAACCAAATACGATTCCTTGTGTTCCTGAATCTCCCAATCTCTTAGTAAACATGAAGAAAAGCCCAATTCTTTAGTAGCTCAGTGAAGCAAATGAAACGCACGCTTACCTGTTCACAGTACGGAGCCATGTCAAGCTCAAGCGGGAATGTGTAATGCCCCGTCTCCTTGAAGCGCTCGAGCTTGACAAAGTCATAGCTGAATCTCAGCAAGGAGATGGTTAAAATAGGTGGTAATGAACGTAACTTGGCTCCCTGTAGACAGAAAGAAACAAATTAATACCTCATTGACAAATAAATTCTTTCATTGCCATAGGCTTAATACAGAAACCACCCACTTCCAGTAGGCAATGGGTAATAAACAAGAAGATACTAAAGAACAATAAAAATATAATTTAAACATATTTGTAGCTTACACCCAGTAAATGAGATCGATTGATTGATCTTTATTTAAAAACAAGTCAGAAAAAATCTTGGAACCAGCGGGACTTGAACCTGCATCTACTGCTTGCCGGGCAGCGACTCTACCACCAGGCCATCACTGGTCCATGACACAGTCACGATGAACTAGACACAAATACCCAAGCTCTCCTGATTCATTCTGACTTATTAATATTCATTAGTCCGCCATAGGACAATAACTGTTATAACAATAAAAATATATGTTTCATGCCCCTTATAACTTCTGAATATGCTATAGCTGAATTTAAAGGTACACCTCATGACTCAACTCAGTTCAGTTTATTTCACTCTCAATAAAAACCATATACATAAAATATATACACAACAGAGTATCACTTATAGAAGACAATACAGAGCAATTAGACAAAAACAAATTATGAGAATGAGGGGTAAACAAGAAAGAGCAATGGCCTTGCAGTATGTTGACCCCAGAATTAACAACAAATACATTCCATCATACACATCATCTCCTTAATATATTGTTAGTTTGACATTTTATTCAGTCACAAGTAAATTTTAGCAGTGAATAAAGATCTGTGGCAATGATGTCAATATTGATCCTATGAATGGAAAGCCAAAACAAAAAAGAAGGAAATTAAGTGAGAAAGGAAGAGAGAAAGAAAGAGAGAGAGAGAGAGAGAGAGAGAGAAAGATAGAGAGAGAGAAAGAGAGAGAGAGAGAGAGAGAGAGAGAGAAGGAGAGAGAGAGAGAGAGAGAGAGAGAGAAGGAGAGAGAGAGAGAAGGGAAAATCACCTCACCTTTCTTGCGTTGACTAATTTCTTACATCTGTCACACCTATACTGATTACTGCCCTCCATCCGTTCTTCCTCCACATAGTAAGCCCTAAGAGTATCAACGACTCCTATGTATCCTCCTACAGCAAGCGTTAGGTCAACAAAGTCCTCCTAAAGGTTTTTAAAGGGACCTTAACAATGTTTAATCTGAGATGCACGGCCCTACGTGTTATTAGTGTCTGGGATATGGTGTTACAGTGACGCCCTAAAAAATCTGCACTTCAAAATTATGAAGAAGTGCCTCAAAAAAGGTAACCACTTTTGAGTGACCTCTTTTTTCCCAATAGACTGTACTGTTATGAAAAACGTTTGGCAAACGCAAAATTTGATTTCGATTTTCAATCATAAATATCTCGATAATCAGACAGGCGATCCGCTTGTATTTAAAAAGTCATGGGGTTCTCGACTGACTTAAAGGTTTTATAATTATCATTGCAGCATGAGCTAAATCAAGCATTTTTTTTACGGATCTAAGACAAAGTTACCCAATCCCTTTAATAGTGTCAGAGAGACTTTAAAATAACTGGGCATCATATCATAAAACAGTTAAAAGGAGAAATTTACCAACATCCCATTGAAACACATCTTAAATTCAATACACATGTTTCAATGATACATGTAAGTCAGAAAACTTTTACTTATGCGCTTTTTATGTTTATTATGAGCTCTAAAAAATATTGTATCATTATTATTATGACGGTTCTGTGAAATGCTGCCCCACTGACCACAATTACCTAGCTGACAAAGTGAATAATTCTATGAAATCAATATATTCCAATTCCAAATATCATTCATTTATGTCCATAATCAATATAAATTACATTAAAAAGCATACACGAGAGTATAATTATGTGAAAACCTCACATTTGAATACTGCAGAAAACAGATTTACATGGACCATTTTCCATTTAGAACTCAAAACCTTTAGTAACAGATTTTCTATCTCAAGGAAATCTATGAAATAAAAAATAAAATAAATAAATGATTACAAATATCAATTTTAAAAAACTTACCGGTCTCTCACTGATTCTATTGCACTCTTCACAGGTAATCTAAATAGAGGAAAAGAATAGAAGAAGAAAATATTATCTTAATGTCTCTTTAACAAAAATCAAGACATACAACTCTCTTTTTTTTTCATATTGAATTTTCAAAAGATAAAAGAAAAATGATCAACTCTGTGAACAGTGTCAATGGTATCTTTCCAGGGAGGCTCACCCTGACTATATGTTCATGTCTGTGATACATACATTCATATCTTTCTGCAATATTAAAACTACCGCCCTTGGCTAAGACCTTGGCTCAAATTCTCCTTCATGCAGGAGTATAACTAATAAGTTTAGAGCTGCTTTGGGGCTATATTTCCATTGTTGTAATGGGGATAGCTTCAAAAGATGGCAGATGTCTAGGAAAAAATTGTCCCAGTGCTGTAAATTGTGTGGAGGAGGTAGAGGGGGAGGGGGGAGGGGGGGGGGGAGGGTGCTGATACAGTCAAACCTGCTTTAGTGACCACCTGTATAGAAAGACCACATTTTTTGTTTCCCTTGAAAATGGTTTCTTGTTGAAACATGTACTTAAGAAACCTTTTCTTAAAGACCACTTTTCTTGTCTCCCTTGGGTGGTCTTTATAGACAGGTTTCACTGTACATTCCACAAGATCTGATTTGAACGCACCTAGTTAACAATGGATCCTCTATAGAGCCTTGAGATGAGGGGGGGGGGGGGTGAGGGGGTGCTGATACATCCTACCAGATATCTGATTTGAACGCACCTGGTTAACGATGGATCCCCTATAGAGCCTTGAGATGAGGTGCTCTCCAGATGTACCCACCAGACTATCCTCGATGGCACAGAACAGTATCCTGCTCAACTCCTGAACATCATGCTGCTGTAACTCCTAACAAACAAACAAATTTCACATTTAAAAGACTTATTTCACCCTCCAGAATAGACAGTCTAAATGTGATGGGGAATATGGATCGCAACAATGGAATGGGATTTCCATGTTGTGTTGTTACATAATGAAATCTATGAATTTCAGGCTATTCATACCATGCTGAAGATTGATGTCTTACCAATATTACTGAAAATGAAACTATTTCACTTCATAAGCATCTACAGTATACAGATTTTTTCTCTCATCCTTTAAACTAAGGAAGTTTTCTGTATATTGGAGCTACATGTACATGTGAATAACAGTTGAAACTGTCTATGGCACTGAAATTAATATATTGTTTATCAACCAAAATGTTGAGTACAGATGCTAACATTAAAAACCTCACTTTGAAACACCATATCCTAGGCAGGGCCCTATACTAACTTTTTTCGCAGAGGTTCGGGATTGCATTTTTAAGATCTCTGTGTATGCGCCCAAGGTTGTTATTTTGAAATTTTGTAGGTCCAGTGTTGTGGGACCATGTGTACCAGGTGCTATGTCAGTGTTGAGTTCTGCAAGGTAGTACTGGGGGTATTTCACAAAGACTAGCATCAACTTAAGTTGGACTTGAACTACGGCAGGCCATTCATGCCACTAGTTCCTCTAACCATTCATGGCATTGGTGTCTCAAGGGATGTACAAATCGTGGTTACAAATCCACATTTGTTTCTTCAACATTGAACTATCAACAAATATAAATTCTGTAGATTTGTGACATCCCTTGAGAGACCAATGGTTAGAGGAACCAGTGGCATGAATGGCCATAGTTAAGTCCAACTTAAGTCGATCTTAGTCTTTGTGAAACACTCCCCCCCCCCCCCAGGGGTCCGTTTCACAAGGTCTTTTTCAATGACAAATGACAAAAATCAGTGACAAATCTAATGATAACCAATCAGAAGCAAGGATTTCAGTAGCTTATAACAAAAACTGTCATTTGTCACTGATGACAAGTCTTTGTGAAACACCCCCTAGGTCTTACATGTACCTCTCTGTTGGTCCATCCAAAGCTATCCGTCAGCTCTTCAGTGGTTGCACTCCTCTGGTTTAGTAACAGAAGACGAGCAAATAATCGCTGAAGGTGGATGGGAATGACTCGTACCTGCAGGAAGAGGATTCCAAATCAAAAGGATAAATTTCGGTATTAATAAGGCGGTGTCAGACAGAGGCCAATTATTCAGAAAATAGTTAACCACTTAATTGTCCCTTAAAAAATCCTCTGACGAAACAAGAAAATTCTTCCTTGAAAGGATTTTTCACGGGATTTGCCAGATTATGCCAGATTTTTCTGTCTGTCACCAATATTAAAAAAATCCCTTTAACTTAATAATGATTGGCTGGCATATGGTTTTTAACGCACCTGCACACTATATTAGCGCACATTTAACGAGACACATTAATTGCGCATTACTTTTGATTGAACGAGTGATGTCACAATGCTTATCTACCTATACGGTGCATGCGCATTGGCCCATCAATAATCTAGATAATAGTTAGCTACATTATTCGTAACCTGTCTTTCAACAGTCTGTTACCTACGTAAATGAATTATCTAGATATCTAAAATCTAGTTTATTCAAAATGGGTCAGGATTTTTCTGTCTGACACCCCCTATAAATGAATGAGTGTAGTTTGACCTACATTATATGTGCATGTACATTGTATATATCCATATATTCAAATAGGGTGAAGAACTTAAAGACCACATCCGATGAAAATACAACTTGATATAAATGGAAAACTGAATGATTGTAGAATACAAATATAAAGGAATACAAAATATTTTCCTTTCAGTATTGCACAATAGCAAATGAAAAACCGTATTTTTCAGCACCCCTCCAAATAGCAGGTCAACAGGGGTCAAAATTGTCGCAGTAAAGATAGATAGATAGATAGATAAATGGTATTTTATTGCATCTTTCATGAATGGCAGTTTCACAACTGAATTGCACATGAGTTACACGAATTGGATATATACATGGTAAAAAACTTACATAACATTTAGTTAAAAATTATTAAAACGTGACACGTTACTACTGCCTAAATACCATAAACAATTAAAAAACACTTAATGAACATAATTTCTACCAAAGAAAAAAGAAAAAAGGTATAAACATAATTACATGCCAACATAATATGGACTAAGGCAAATCATACAACAGTTCGTCATGTTACAATATTGCAGTAGTGGGTATGGTGGTAAAGTAATCAATGATAGCGGCAAAAGCAGGTGTATGAACATTTAGTAATATTTGAAATAATTATTCAAATTTAAAAGTAAAAAGCAATTCAATATCATTAAAACATACCGGTACGATATAAAAAATTATTACATGAATGTACAGGAATCGAGTCATTTCAATGATAAATCATTACAATAAATATAAACATGAGCAAATTAACTGTTATTATACAGGCGAATCAAATTTGGAATAGGACTATTTTGCATGCGACTGGTTTTACATTTAAAATCCGGAATTTCTAAGTGTTCTAGTACAATGTTTTTGTGGGAGAAATTGTTTAAATTGATCAGTGAGTGATAATGTTTTTTGAAAGAAAGTAGTACATAAATATTGGCGTCTTTCATCTAATCTTTGTAATTGAGATTGTGCGAGTGAAATTGTATAGTTATCATAATCCCTCCGAAAAATTATCCGCAACGCTCTCTTTTGAACTCTCTCCAATCTCTCGTTTTGGTATTGCGTGAGTCCTCCACTCCACACAGGACTGGCATATTCAAGTAAGGGGCGAATATAACCCACAAAAACAGTAATAAGGTCTTCCTTTGGAAGACCATATTTCACCAGAGAACGTAGCATGTATAGTTTGGCACTTGCCCTTTTTTCAATGTCTTTTATGTGAGCATCCCACTTTAAATTATTCTGTATAGTAATTCCTAGCAATTTAACTTCACTCACTGTTTCCAATAAACAATTCTCTAAAATTATACTAGTTTGATTAACGGGTGCCCTAGAGAAACAAATATCCATTTTCAAACATTTTGTAGGATTTAATTTCATGTTATTAACATTAGCCCAGACAGATAGATTGTCAGCAGCTTCCTGCATTTGAGAATCTTGGGCTAGTTTGCGGCACTCAATCATTGTAAGGTCATCAACATATTTAAAAATGTGAATGTTATTATTTAATTTAAAGTCATTAATCATAACTAGGAAAATTAAAGGACCCAGTTTCGTCCCCTGAGGGACACCAGCATTAATAGTACATGAATCAGATAAAACACCATGGTAACGAACACATTGAGTACGACAAGAAAGGAAGTCACATATCCAAGTGATTGCTGAGGATCGGACCCCTATTAGATGTAACTTGCTTATAGCGACAGTGTGGTCAATTCGATCAAAAGCTTTCTTAAAGTCAGTTAAAAGAATTGTTGACGACGTTTTAGAGTTTTCGGCATTTAAATACAAATTATGAAGAATATTAATTAAACAATGAGATGTTGATAAACATTTTCTATTACCAAATTGAAACGGGTCAATTTGTTGTCCAATGTCCTGAGATATCCATTTTGCCATAAAACCTTCAATAACTTTGGCAAAATGATCGGTCAAAGATATCGGCCTTAATTTATCAATACTCGGTGGACTTGTTTTGGGGATTGGAACAACAATTGCATGTTTCCAAACATCAGGAACCTTCCCGCAATTAAAGGAGGTGTTGATTATACGAGCCAATGGCTCTGCAAGTTCAACAGAGAACTGGCGGATGAGCCGCGCAGAGATGCCATCTGGGCCACTTGAAGTTGAACTTTTAATTTGAGAAAGAGCTCTGTTTACTTGCCACGGTTGGACTACCGGAAGACTTTGCGATGACGGCAAGTATGATGGTAGAGCAGCGAGTTCAAGTTTTTTCAGATCAGAAGATACAGATACAAAATGATTATTAATGGCATTAGCGATTATGCCACTCTCTTCAGGGTTCACACCTGCAACTGGGATGTTAGGTGAACCTTTGCGCTGTCCTGTAAGAACGCGTATTTCGCGATACCAGCGAGAAGGGTTACTCTTTTTATGTCTCTGAACACGGGTGGCATGATAGAAAACTTTAGCATTTTCAATAGATGATTTAACTTTATTACGTAATCGCTTCCATAAGATATGATTCCCCTGGTCATGTGCAACTTGTCTCCTAAAAATTAGTGACTTTATTTCTCCTGTCATCCATGGCTTATCATCACAGTGAAGCTTGACTTTACAAATCGGGAAATATTTATCAATTGCATCATTTAAAGTTTTATAAAAAGCATTACATTGTACATTTACATCATCATCAGTTATAATTTCAGGCCATTCATAACACGAGAGCCATTGTCCGAATGCTCTTATAGAGCTATCCGGCATAGGTCTTTGAGATATATAACGTGTTGCCTTTTTTGGCACTTTAATTATTGTAATAGCAGACCACAATACTGAATTATGATCGGACATTCCAACAGGAGAGCAAATCTGAGGTTTGTTATAATGACAATATATATTAGTAATAATTTTATCTAGAATGTTATTCCCTCTGGTTGGAGTTTTAACAACTTGGCGTAGGTTATGATTCGTAAGTAATCCGTCAATATTCATCTGATTAAAATCACCAAGTATTACTAGACCTGCATCTGGGTGATTTGTTGTGAAGTAATCAATGGTCGCTATCAGGTGATCAGTTAGCTGTGCTTCAAGATGAACATCAGGCTGTGGATAATACACGACCGCACAGAAGATACAAGAGATGGATCTCGGCAGTCGAGGGGGGCGGAGTTTGACCCAGGTAACCTCGAGGTTGTCTGGAACCTGGACAGCAACGGGCGAAGGATTGAGGGCTTCTCTCGCGTAGATGGCTACACCTCCACCGGTGCGGCTGGTTCGCGACTTGGAGAAGAGACAGTAGCCTTGGATGGAGAATTGTTCAGGAGAACAGTCGTTCCTGAACCATGTCTCGGTTATGGCTGCAACATCAGTGTGATGGTAGGAGAAGACGGCAGATACAGTAGTTCGTCAAATTTATTGCAAGCTGAGCGCGCGTTGCACATGAAGAAAGTAGGCAGGTTACTTTGTTTCGGCTTAGCATTAATATGTTCTCTCTGGACTGGTGTCAAGCATCTCGGGAGGCGATCTTTGGTCGACCGGTTGTAGACCCGGATGCGATATGGTGATTTGGGGATGGGGCGTTGGAAATGTTTTAGCTTCCGCACTCCAGCTCTGCAACCACGATGAGTGGGGGGATGTTTTCTGATTTGGAGCTCTGAAATTGTTTGCCATGTTGATTTAGAAAGTAGCGAACAAGCATTTGATGGGTTATAACGAATATTCAAACACTCTTCACGACTGTATTGATAGCGTTTGTTTATCACTGTTTTAGTCAATAAGGAGACTGTTGGGCCTGGGTTAGTCTCGACATCACCACAACAAATGATGGGTATATTAAAGGTAGCACTTGAGTTCGAATAGTATAGTGTAGGTGACTTGCAGTAATGTCTTACACGAATCTGTTTATGAGTTTTAGCAATCGACCTGACATAACTGCCATGTTGAAAATGAAACTTGCAGTACAAACGTTCACGCACACAAACACCTATACACAGTGTAAGAAGGAAGAGCACACAAACTTTGTGCATATCCATCAGAGCATATTAAGTCTTTTACTACCTTCGCTACTTGGTATTGTTCAGCCAAAATCGTCCTTTGTTCGCTTGGGTCGTACGGAGCTCGTACGGAGTTAGTACACGGTCAAAGCAATACGGGAACATGTATGTGTCCATGTACTTGTACATACCCATGGTTGATAGCAAAGTCGGATGATTTGGCCTCCAAAATACACCTTAACATCAGTTATTATCACTCAAAAAACGATTCCTCCGAGGTCACTATTGCAATTCACACAAGATCGTAGATAAAAATGACAGCAATCAGATAACTTGTCAGTAAAAATCACGAAAATTGCAGAGAAATCTGAGAACGATGTGGCTGCCGGTTAAGGTGATGACATCGCATGTGAACCTGATCAGGTCGCCTACATGTATGTATATAGCTGAGGCAATGCTTAATCAATGCAAAGTCATTGTGAATATGCATACTCCACATAAAATGATGTCATCAAGTCGATAGCTAGTTTTTTGGTCTACAACTTCTGATTTCAAAAATGTAGATTTTGACTTTTTAGAGAGATCTAACTCCTCTGACAGACACTACAATAGCATTGATATTATTGTAATCTATGGCTTCCATGCTTTTTGTTGATACATAAATCATCAACTTCATTTTTCACTTCCGAAAGGGTTTTATTCATTTTTTGGCATCTGCAATGCTTACCTTACTCCCTGGTTTCTCCTTATCAGCAATGTTACCAAGCTCATCTTGTCCCAGAGCAAAAAGAGATTCTGAGTGACAAAATCATAATTTAAATGAATTAAAACGGTGACGTACAGAAAGAAAAAAACCTGCTAACACAAGTGCTTGTCGGTTATATCACTATACATATCTACCTAATCATTGTTCATTGAGAGCTGTGTCAGTTGAGGCTCATCACATGCACATACTCAAGAACCTGCAAACACAAGTATGTAAAGTTTTATAAAGTATTTTGAACTGCTTTGGCTTTTATTACCTAAAATATATTTGTTTGCTTGAACTGTGAGCTTTTCGTGATGATCTTAATATTGTGGCATTTCTGGGATGTACATGTACATGTAATCAATGTACACAATAATCCAACAATATTATTGACCTCCCTAAACTGCTTTCATGACTCTTGAAAGCAAATATATGACAAATCTTCATATTAAGTTGCACAGGAGGAGTTAAAGTTTAATTTGAATATATATTGGGTTTTCCCCACTCCTACAATGTATGAAGTATGGGATGGGTTTTCCCCACTTGCCCCAAAATGTAGACTTGTATTGTTCCCAATCACTTGACGTTTTGCGTCAGTCCAAATTGAATAACAATAACAAATATAGACAAAAATGTTTGCTGCAAGTTGAAACTGACATAGAGAAAGAAAGAGAGAGAGGGGGACAGGGAGAGAAAGAGAAAGAGAGAGAAAGAGAGAGAGAGAGAGAGAGAGAGGAGAGACAGAGAGAGACAGTGAGAGACAGAGAGATAGACAAAGAGAGCGACAAAGAGAATGAGTGGGAAAAACCCACTGCACCTTTATGAGTACAGTTAACATTATTCCGACAGGTCCTCTTACCACAAATTTTTCTGTTGCCATACAGTCCATCCACTATGCCATGAATGCACAAAACTAATTAGTTCTAGACTCTAGGTTAGAATGAATATGAAAAGTACCAGTTAATGTTTCCAGTTTCCACAGGAAAGTCAGAATAACCTCTTATCTCTAGATTAAGTCTGACTATAATATAAAGTAAACCTAACTAATCCATGTATTGTATTTGTCTACTATTTGTAAGGAAATCTCATTCTCACTGATTGCCGAGTCAGACATACTACATAGGTCTATCTCATATTGATTGTCCGAGGCCGAGAATCTCAGACAATACCACTTAAATATCAGAACATGTCTGACTCGCCAATCAGTCTCGAACTTTAACTTTAAAATGTTGTTAATAATAGTTAGTCTTTCAATATACAAATTAATCTAGATCTACACAATAATGCTGGATATATGGCCATACATACTTTTTATATAATTGGGTTTTAAACATGCACGAGAATACCGGTAGGCCTACCTCTGAATTCCGGTGTGAAGAGCAATGTCTGCAGAAGTGAATTCAAGTAACACGTCGCACCCTGGTTTGCGATACCCGCTAGGCCGGTACTTCCCCGTAACAAGGGAGGTTGTGGAAGCCCATCTTTCTTGCTGGATCGCTGTGCCGAGTTTTGACTTGCAACATCCGACGATGTTTCGCCTTCTTCGCCAAATAAGTCTCCAAACATGACCAAATGAATCTGTAGTCTTCTTTTCTTATGAATATAGGCCTATGCTAAGAATAAACACAATACTCCACCAGCGTCGATCATGTCGATGGGACCCTCATCTCATTCCGTTCCCGAGCCCAAAGTGTGTATAAACTGTCACCACCGAGCTGTACAATGGCATGCGCTCTCTGTATATACTGTACACCGGTCGATTCTTCACAGGCTGGGCTGCCATATTGAAAATCCTAGATTCAATTCAATTCAATTAATTCATTTATTTTTCCTCTTTCAATTGTTCATATTTACAATGATGGTACATTTTTACATAGTCACATATTAATATACATATAGATCAATTTGCACAATACAATACATAACAAAATAAACATGAAATACATAACAAAAATAAACATGAAATACATTAAAATGAAATACATAACAAAGATATACATGAAATACATTACAAAAATAAACATGAAATACATAACAAAAATAAACATGAAATTGAAAGGGAAGGAGGGCCGACAAAAGACTTGTAGGGTGTAGGGCCCCCTGTAAAATAATTATTATGAATTATTATTTTATGAGAAGAAAAAAAACAATGACAATAACTGATTCAGTAATAAAAGATTAAAAAGAAGAAGAATTTGTTTTTTTAATTTTTAAACGCAAAACAATGATAAATACATACTAAAAGAAACAATCTAAGTTACACAAACATCAAGCATAAAGTCACACTACACATTAGATTTGATTGGGGAATGCAATAGCGTAGTCACTATTCAGAAGAAAGCTTTTGAGTCTCCTTTTGATGATTTGCATCGAATTACACTGTATAATATCATTTGAAACTAATCCCATAGTTTTGGACCTGTAAAATCAAATGTCTTTTGTGCAAACGATGTTCTATTAATGTTAGATGAAAAGAGCTCGCCTGGCGAGTGAAGTAACTATAATCGAATCATTTCTTATACGAACATCATCATTAAATGGCAATTGTTACGTGTTGAGCTTGTGGTAGCTTTGAGCAGTCCAATCAATAATAATTGAGAGGAAAGAGATGAGATACGGTTTACATGAATCTTGTAGATAACAATATAAGTGTTGCAGTATACAGTTCAGGTGCGGATCCAATATTTTCCAATAGGGGGGGGGGGCGGAAATTCGAAAATTCTAGATTATGGATGTGAAGCATATGCTGGGTCAGCATCAAACACTCTTTTGAAGATTTTTTTGTTGATTCTATCCGGAACCAAGCGCTTAGGATTACCCACGGCATCACTATAGCAGCGCCAGGTCGAGTGCGGGGAGCCCCCCTTGGAGTTTCGTAGACAGGTCTTTGTTGTTAAATACAAATTTTATTTACAAGAAAGGATAATCATCTACTACACAATTTTTGGCTATACCAATGTAATAAATGGATAGAGGATGAGGGTCCCCTCATGAATCGAGCCTGCACTTTAGAAACACCAAACCTAGAAAAACAGGCAGATTGTATTCCTCGCACTCCTCCTTGGCACGTTGTGAAACCAAATGTCTCTTTCAGTATACATGGTGAAGTGACAAAGAAAGAGTCGCTTCCAATACAGCAGTTAAATTGTGCATTGTAAAATATTTCAATAAAATGGAACGACTACTAGAACATATATACAGATGGATCCAAACTTGGTGATGGTCTTACAGGTGCAGCCTTTTATATTCCAATATTTAAGATAAGTTAAGGTTTTAGAATAACGCCAGTAAATATTATGACTGCGGAACTTACAGCGATCATCCTGGCATTACATTGGATAGAGGACTACATTCCAGTACCTGTAGTAATATCATCAGATTCCATGTCAGCCTTGGAGGCTATTAAACAAATGGACAAATCTAGTTAAATTATAGAAATATCGGAGAAAGTGACACAATTTAAGCGCTTTTGGTGTAGACATACATTTTAAGTGGATACCTGCGCATTGTGACCTACTGGTGGGAAACGAAAGAGCCGACAGTTTGGCTAAAAGAGCAACACAAAAAGAACACATAAATATAACTGTACCACGGAATAGGTCTGAACTAACAAACAACATGCGTCATTTTTATCAGCATTATATGGCAAAATCAATGGGAAACGATTTTAGATAAAGGTAGATTAATATTTCAGATCGATCCATATTATAACGAGACTTATCAACTTATCTGGGTTTTGTTGAAAAATGATATATTAACGCATCAAATGAGAATGGGAAAATGCAAATTAAACTTGTACAAACTCATTATTAATAAACATGAAAATGGCCGTTGTGAATGAAGATCATCGCCACACTTGGCTTTCTTAAAAGCCACAGATAGATACCACGCACTATGAATTATATACAGGTCTAAACGCCAAAGTCTACTTTGTCTTTTTTTCACCTTCTCTCTCTCTTGGAGAGGAAGGGAAGGAAAGTATAGTTTAGCAGTGCACGATCTTCATCTATTATTAATACAAATACTCGTAACCTGTTCATTGGCGGATCCAAGGGGGGGGGGCACCCCCCCCCCCCCCCTCCGACCAAAACAAAAAATGTTGAAATCAGCCCCAAATTCGCCAAAAATGTACTGGCAAACAGGGACGTACACCCCGACCCCCCCCCCCCCAAAAAAAAAAAAAAAAAATTAATAAAAAATGTGCTCTTTACCCCCCCCCCCCCCCCCCCCCCCCCCCCCCGCTTATTCAGCGGCTGGCTGAGTCGTTACGATTTGTCTGGGACCAAAAAATATATATATATAAAAGTCCTCTTACCCCCCCCCCCCCCCCCCCCCCCCGGGAAGAAATTCCCTGATCCGCTACTGCTGTTCATGGTCGACACCTAAATTATTGCCCGCAACATCGAATAAACGGAAGCTGTGATACCCACTGAATCCATATTCGCGCCAGAGGAAAAGAAACAGCGCCATCTAATCTAATCATCAGAAAAACAATATAGCCAGGCGGAAATAATCTTTTCAGATTGGACAGCCTTATAAACCCAACAACATCAACAATCTGTTTCATTCTTGCGTTTTACTCTGATGAGTGCAAGACGAAACATAAGATAGGAATAGAATAAATCTTGCAAACGTATTCGAAACGCAAGATTCATGTAGGCCTAAACTACAATCAAGACTGCTATATCGGGCGGCAATCGGAAGATTCCGATGGCGTTCGAAGTGCATTCAAGTTGGGTACTTTTAGTTCCGAAAGTATCCAAATAGATTCCGACGGCAATCGAGATGCATTCGAGGTGCATTCGGGACATTCTTGCATTCTGGTCGGGACGCGCATATTTTTGTTTACAACTGGTTAGCCAGTTCAGTCAAATATATTGTGCAAACGACTTGAGACAGAGTCTAACATTACCCCAAGCAGTATTTTTGGATTGCTGAATCTGTACATGCGTATAGGCCCTATTCGTTATGTCTTTGCTTCGATCTCGTTAAATCCATCCTCTTCTTTTTACTTTCGTTATGTATTTCTTCGTTTCTCCTTCAATCTATCCTCTTCTTTTTCATCATGTATTTCTTTGTTTTTCTTTCAACCTATACTTTTCTCGGCCTTAATCTTAATGTATTTCTTAGTTTTTCCTTAGTCTATATCCGAATCTATAACCTTCTGAACCTTCTGAAATTGTAGTCAGCAGGGCGGTGTTCCGCATGTCGCTAACTTGTATGGCAGGTAATGCATAATCCTCTTATCCTCTAATCCTCTAAGCTCTAAGCTCTAAGCTCTTCCGTTATGTATTTCTATGTTCTTCCTTTGACTTATTCTCTCACTCTTTCCTAAAGTATTTTCTTGTTTTTCCTTCTCCATATCTCCACTAGTTTTCGCTATAGCTTTTATATCATCTTTCCTTCCATATGGGTGTACGTGCTTGCATAAGAAGTGCGCTGACAACTTAGACTCTTTAACCAGAGCACTTCTGGGATTTTCTTTCTCGCGAAAATGGCTAAACAGTTGAGTAAAAAAAAAATATTCGAGCCGCAATCGAGCGGCAATCGATATATTCCGACGGCATTCGAAGTGCATTCAAGTTGGGTTCTTTAAGCACCGAAATTATCAATATAGATTTTGGCGGCAATCGAGATGCATTCGAGGTGCATTCGGGACATTCTTGCATCCTAGTCGGGACGTTCCAACTGCATTCGAGCCGCATTCGAGCGGCAATCTAAAGATTTCGACGGCAACCGTAATGCATTTGAGGTGCATTCGGGACACTCTTGCATCCTATAGTTGGGACGTTTCAACTGCATTCGAGTCGCATTCGAGTGGCATTCGTAATATTCTGACGGCATTCGAATTGCATTCAAGTTGGTTGTTTTAGTACCGAAAATATCAAAACTGAGATTCTGGGGGCAATCGAGATGCATTCTTGCATAATTATAGTCGGGACGTTCCAACTCTATTCGAGCCGCATTCGAGCGGCGATCTAGAGATTTCGACAGCTTTTGAAGTGCATTCCAGTTGGGTTCTTTTAATACCGAAATATCGAAATAGATTCCGACGGCAATCGAGATGCATTCAAGGTGCATTCCAGTTGGGTTCTTTTAATACCGAAAGTATCGAAATAGGTTCCGACGGCAATCGAGATGCATTCAAGGTGCATTCCAGTTAGATTGTTTTAATACCGAAAATATCGAAATAGATTCCGACGGCAATCGAGATGCATTCGAGGTGCATCCCATTTGGATTGTTTTAGTACCGAAAATATCGAAATAGATTCCGACGGCAATCGAGATGCATTCAAGGTGCATTCCAGTTGGGTTCTTTTAATACTGAAGATATCGAAATAGATTCCGACGGCAATCGAGATGCATTCGAGGTGCATTCTAGTTGGATTGTTTTAGTACCGAAAATATCGAAATAGTTTCCGACGGCAATCGAGATGCATTCAAGGTGCATTCCAGTTGGGTTCTTTTAATACCGAAAATATCGAAATAGATTCCGACGGCAATCGAGATGCATTCGAGGTGGATCCCAGTTGGATCGTTTTAGTACCGAAAATATCGAAATAGATTCCGACGGCAATCGAGATGCATTCGAGGTGCATCCCAGTTGGATTGTTTTAGTACCGAAAATTTCGAAATAGATTCCGACGGCAATCGAGATGCATTCAAGGTGCATTCCAGTTGGGTTCTTTTAATACCGAAAATATCGAA